TTTACTTCCTCATCAATTTTTCCATGCAGTCAAATCAGCCCTCAACTTGTCCCACTTGTTCTTAAGTTGAGTTTTTTTCAACATGATACTGGTGTACTGAAAAAACCTTTCATTCACCTTGGTATAGCTCACATTGTTCAAATAAGTGTTTGGTCGATTTCCTTTTCTAACTTGTTCAGCAAACAACTTACAAACAAGTGCGGTATACTCATCATTCCACTCCATTTGATCTCCCTAATCATGGTTTCCCTAAAACATTGTTCAAATGTCTGAAATTACAAATACCTAGCACTAGATTGGAAGAGAAATATACCTCATCATCCCTTGCCCTTTTTTGTTGCCCGATGGAGCACGTCCCATAGCTTGCACACCGGACGTACAGATGTTTGCGACAACATCCGTACTTCATTGCCGATCCCCGAGGTCAGGCCACTACCGGGCACGCCCATGCTAGCACCGCCCGAGCCTAAGCCAGCCGTGCCCAGGCCACTGCCACCATGGCCACGCTGTCCAATGAGGTGAAGGGAGGGGGCGCTGGCCGGAGTTACACCAACGACTACTGGTCGGGGAAGTCCAACCGCTGTTTTTGCAGCCGGATTGGAAGACGATGGGGGCGGAGGAGGTGGAGGTGCAGATCTTCTCATCCTGGCAGACAACGACAGCCAGGAGTGGCGGTGCGGCGTGGGCGGTGGCGGTCGAATGTGCTAGAGAAGATGATGCGTCGCGGGAAATGGGAAAGATCGTGACCTAGTATTGGCGTGGGGGGAAAAGAAAAAAAGAAAGCTAACGGGTACGTGTGTAATCGATGGCATTGGTGCGAGGGGTTACAAAACTGGTGTTTTCAAAGCACCCCTTAAGGTGCTTTGTGGATTTGGAAGCTAAATCCACATTTTTGGTGAATCTAGAGTTTACGGATCTCGAGCGTTTAGCTGGAAAAATGTGAGCTGTTTTTTTTAATCTAGAGCTGCGTGGAGTTCTGCCAAACAGTCTATATAATTTGCAACGAGAGTAGTTATCAGGCCCGTGAAGCGGCGAATAATCAAACGTGAATACGTTATTAGTACCGCTATCCAGCTTTGAGAACTATTGGTTCAAGCTTTAGCGTTTTTATGTTACTGGTTCAACATGTCTGCTGGTTCGAGTACAGACTAAAAAATAGTAAAACGTAAAACACATCATAGTATAACTAGGCATTGCTTGAGGTCACTATATAACATGCGACCAGTTTCTTATTCCATGTTAAAAATTAAAGAATTACGAGAAATATTGAACCATCAAACATAAGTGATGAAATACACAACAGAGGGATTGAAAAATAGGACATTCTAGTTATTTACCTTGATTTCTCGCTTTTTCGTTGGTTGGGTGCCAAATCAAAATGCCTGCAGTGCCAAATCAAAATACCTACCATTGCAGCACTACATGCTGTGTGTTTTTAAGTGTACGTGGTTTGCAGCTACCTGGTACGGCGGTGCCCTGGCTGCGTGCTGTAGACCTGCACCTCCTCTATGGCTGCACTGCCTGAGTGCAGTGTTGCCCTTTGTCGGCGAACCACACCCACTTGAAGCCTGGGTGCTACCAAGCCACGCATCCATGTGCAGCGCCCTGCGCTAGCCCTAGTGAGGTTGTGTCATTGTGTGTCGTTGCAACAGTTGCCTACTCATGTCACTGGTGGTGGAGAAGGGCCACCAGCCCACCACCGGGTTTCTGCAGGAGCAGGATTGGAGATTTGGAGGGAAGGCAAGTGTTGCTAGTGTCAGGATCTGAACGGGGAACGAATGGGGAGAGGGCAGAGTGGAGTGGCTAGGATGCAGTTTCACCAGTCATCAACTTCCACATCATCAACCAAATAATATTCATCAGTCATCATCTTCCGGGTTTTCAAGTTCTTCAGTCATCCGACTTCCAGCACTAGCAGATACTGACCGCCTCCAAGCACAGGTTGTATCATTATCTGTCACATCGCCATGGGCTGCCCTAGGAAAATTAGGGCCTCGAAGCATTTGGTATGCACCAACAGCTTCATTAACTTGTTACCATGTAATGTCAAGTCCGCTACCACTATGGGCAGGTTCAGCATCCACATCAACACATTCATTGTTCCAATCAAAATCATCCAAACACAAAGGATCAAAGCTGCCTGCTTCTTTCTCATGACGCTTTTAGAAACCTCATTGCCATCATTCAGTTGTACAGAACATAGACCAAACCATTCAGCCTCTTGAGCTATAACCTGTTTCTTTTCTTAGTATGAATCTACAATGGAAAAATGTAAACAAAAGAATTTTTCAGCAAGCATAGATAGATTCGATTTAGCTCTTGAACTCAAATGATTGACAATATTAGTTAGTTACATGCAAACTCAAATATGCTCCAGTTGTGCTCACAGCCCAAAGTTGAGACAGAAAGCTCAACACGTTTTGCAAATCTTTGGAGCTCTACGGCTTTGCCACCATATCAATGCCGCCATTGATAAGATCAAATCGCCACAAAACAGTTTTATGTTAGAAATTAGGAAAAAATAATCAGAAATTCAGATTGTATCTCAACAACTGAACATAACTTACTAGGTGACCTGGTTTTGAGGTTGTTGATTGCAATTTTGTTTCTGAAACTAACCCTTAGGTCCTCATATTCCAAACTCCAAAGCTAGGTCAACAATCTTGTTTTGAAGATCATCATTAGGAACCATTTTTTTCCAAGAACCTCAGTGAATGAAGACCTTAGCTTACCAGTCTGAACATCATCTGTCTTCAGCTCAAAATACTTGTTTCGATTCAAATACAGTTCTGCCCCATATAGTTTTTGGTCGATTTGGTCATTCCAATGCCGGTGAGTAATGACCAAGCAAGTCTTCCTTTGTCCTAGTAGGTAGATTTTCAGTGCACCATGCGTCCATACCTACACACCTTTAGCTAAGGAACAAGCAAACTCGGCACCTGGATGGATGGCAACGTCGAGGTCAACCTAGTCCCCATTTCCCAAAATGTAGCTCAAGAAAAGATCTTTTATGATATTTAGAAAAGAGTGGTCAACTTTTTATAGGCAAAGAGTATGTTACTTGTGCACACAACTTTATAGTAAAACTGTAAAAGGGCAGCAACTTAGGTTAAAGTTGCTAACTAATGCATGAGAAAAACACTTCTTTACTTTTTACTGATATCATAACCATGAATATCCAGATTATGTAGTATGTTCTTGTGAACACAACTTTTTATAGTAAAAGGGCAGCAACTTAGGTTAAAGTTGCTAACTAATGCATGAGAAAAAAACACTTCTTTACTTTTTATTGATATCATAAATTAGCATGAATATCCAGATTATGTATTTATTTGTATATGTAAGGGTATCTTTGGATGGCTTTCCAACCTCACCATGCTGCAAGTGCAGCCACCAAATCTCTGGTGAGCAAAAGATTTGCAAAACTTTTATGAATGTGGCAGTTGTAAACAACTACACCCTCCTGTCACAAAAACATGTCGTTTAGGTTATTTAGTTCGGAAACATGGAAGTTATTTACGTAAAGTTACATTCACATATACTCACAAAATTTCATAAATTTGAAATATTTTAAGAGCCTACCCCAACTTGCTTGGGACTGAAAGGCTATGTTGTTGTTGTGAAATATTTTAAGAATACATTCTAGAAGAAATTAGTGGTCAAAGATCATGCAAAGTCAACCGGAGGGAGTACAAAGATGCATAACAGAGTAGTATGGCACGCCAAAGATGCAGCCACAAATCAAACAGCGTCCTAAGCAAGTGCGGTGCGCCAAACTTGTGGCACGTGCGAGTTGCGACAATTAACAACACACCCTTAGTAATGTGAATTGTGTTTTCTACTTTAAAAGCATGAGTCTTCAACTAATACTTTGAAGGGAGCATATCCCATGAAAATCAGAGTGCTGGAAGTTTGAAACCCCAATCAAAAAATCGTATCTTTAAGTTTCTGAAAATACTGAAAACTCACTATCATTAAAAACTCGCGTTATATTACCACATCACACAAAATTCAAATTTCACGACCAAACTTCATCCATTTTGTGAGATACAAAAGGGAAAAACTGTCAGACACATGCACATATTTTGTCCTTTTGCCCTTCTAAACCCTGGATTTGTCATTTTTGTATCTCTCAAATGATGTGGAGTTTGGCCTTGAAATTTTGCATGGTATCATATAATAACCTCATCTGAAAATGGCAAGTGTTCCAATAATTTTGAGAACTTCTAGAAATGTGTTTGGATGGATTTTCAAGTTTACCAGTCAGCCAATTGTGGTTTATGAGGTCACTTGCTTGAAGTATCAACAAGTTGACTCTCAAATTATCAAGTCATTGTATTGAAGTAGCAATAAGATGACAACGAAGTTGTATCTGAGCATTGATTACGTATTCATGTGTGAATTGATCATGATGCACTTACATTGCCAATAGTCAAAATACAGTGCAAATAGCAACCCATTGCCTTCATAATAGAAACATCATAACAAAGCAATTTTCAATGTCATGGAAAGCTGTCCTAATTGGGACAGTTGAATACATAAAGGTGAATTGCAGTAAATATGTCCTAATTGGGACAGTTGAATAGATCGAGGTGAATTGCATATAACAAAAGTGCATACAGATCGCCACAATGATAGATTCCATATAAGAAGACACGGTAACCATTTTGTTTAATCATGGAAGCAAGCAAACTCTTGAGAAATAATAACTACTCCCTCCATCACAAATTATAAGACGTTTGACTTTTTTGACCTCAAGTTTGACCACTCGTCTTATTCAAAAAATTTGTGTAAATATAGTCAAATTTAAGTCATTCTTGAAGAACTTTTATTAATAAACCAAGCCATGACAAAAGAAGTGATATTTTGCACAAAATTTTGAATAAGACGAGTGGTCAAACTTGGTGTCAAAAAAAGTCAAACGTCTTATAATTTGGGATGGATTGAGTACAAGGCTAACAAAACGATGAGAGTGTGCACATACTACTTTCTGGTAGGGATTAGAAAGGTCGGCCTGATTTTCTTTTGCCAAAGATCACCTCCCACACCACTGGTGAGAATGGGCCTTTCTTGTCCAGGTGCTCCCTGATTGACTTCTCATCAATAGCAAAGTTCCTGTCCTGGAAGCTCCTCACAAGCTTTTCACCATCATCCACCCCTTTTGTCTTGCACACTGCATCAAGCAAGCCTACAAACGTCTCAGCATTCGGCGCAAGCCCAGCCTCAAACATCTCCACACAGAACCCAACAGCATCATCCAGCCTGCCCCCCTTGTACAACCCCTGTATCAGGAGCCAGTAGCTGAATGCGTTTGGGATGACTCCATTCCCTTGCATCTTCCTGAAAATCCTCACAGCGTCGTCTAGCTTGGCCGCCTTGCAGAATGCCTCGACGACAGCTGTGTAGATGACCACCTCCGGGATGGCTCCCTTCTCTCGCATCAGGCCGAACAGCTTCATGGCGTCCTGCACCAGGCCGTTCTTGCACAGCCCGTCGAGCATGGCCACGGCGTTTGGGATCAGCCCGGTCTCCTTCATCTTTCGGAAGATCTCGTCCACATCCACCGGCTGCGCGGACGCAGGCTCTTCCTCAGGCTGCCGCCGCTCATCGCCGCCTCCCGTAGCGGCGGCGGCGGCGGCGGAGGGACCATCGCCCAGTTTAAGCTTCTCCAGCAGCGTCTCCCCAACGACCTTCTGGGCGCTTCGCTCGGGCTGCTGCTGCTGCTGCTTCCCAGAGGAGGCGTCGGATAATCCCCTGCCACGCCTCGGCGGCGGGGGAAGGGGGTTGTTCCCGGGGTCGGCGCCGAAGTTGAGGGTGCGGAGGAACGCCTCGTCCTCTTCCTCCTGCCGTGCCTCGCGGATCACCCGCCGGCGCCGGTCACCGGTGGAGTAGAGGCGCTGGAGCCCCCCAGCGCCACCTAGAAGGAGGCGGCGGCGGAGGGCGCCTGATCTCACCGGAATCTGCAGACTCATCTCAGTTCCTCTGGCTCTCCTCTCTAATCTGGGGTCGTGGCGGCGGAGCACGCGTAAGGCGTAAGAGACAAGCACTCAGTGATGGGGTTTATGCTCCCTGGCTGACCAGTGGGTCCTACTTGCCCCTTCGTAGGTTTTGGGCTTTGGCCTTTCGGGCCGGGGGAATTGCTCGTGAGGCATATAAAAAAAATCGCAATCATACGTGAGCCACTGAAAAAAAAATACTACTTTAACTTTTTTTCTCTGTACGCCACTGCTGTTAGATTAGGCTCTAACGATGTTAAATTGCAGATGTGAAAAGTCAAAAATATTTTTAAATCTAAATATATTATTAAATTTTTTTTAGCATCTTAATAACTTTAAATAAAAAAACTTAAAACTAGAAAGTTGTAGAATCTCGTCGAAATCTATAATTTTTATGTAAAAATTATCTTCTTTTAATACCGTAAAAAGATATGATTAATTTTTCTAAGATATATTAATCCTATCGAATTATCTTCTTTTTTGCAGTGCGTTGAACTTTTTTCAACGACTCACGTGAGATTACGATTTTTTTTATGGCTCACTAGCAATTCTCTCTTTCGGGTTCGAGTGGCTCCTTGGTGTCAGCTGCACCTGCCACGGCCCACGGGCAACCTCTGGCTCTGGCACGAACCCATGTCGAAGGCTGTGTCGCGCATTCCGTCGAGCACCTTGACCTCGCTCCTCCCCCGCGCCCTCAACCCCCACGTCGCCGTCGTCGACCTCGTCGTCTCCACCCACCTCACCGCCGTCACGGACGACGCCAAGCCCGTAGACCTCACCCGTCTGCTCCCCTTCCTCGGCCACGACGAGCTCACCGCTGTTGTTCTCCGCGCAGGCCACTCCCACCCGCTCCAAACCCTCCGCTTCCTCCTCGCGCTCCCGCCGCCGCTCCAGCCCTCGCCTCCCCACCTTGCATTCCTTGCGCACTCGCTTGCCTCCTCCCTCCTCTTCTCCCACGCGCTCGACGCGCTCTCTCACCTCATCCGCCTCATCCCGCGGCACGACGCGCTGCCCACGCTGCTCCTCGCGTCCGCCACCGCGCCGCACCCTTCCCTCCCGGGCCTCCTCGTCAAGGCTCTCCTCCGCCACGCCCGCCTCCGGGACGCGTTCCGCTCCGCCCTCCGCGCGGCCGCCGCGGGCGCGCCCCCCGACGCCGCCGCCTTCAACACGCTCCTCGCCGCGCTCTCCCGCGCGGGCCGGTTCGATGAGCTCTGGGCCGCGCGCGGCGCCATGGCGCGCGCCGGGGTGCGGCCCGACGCCCGTACGTTCAACATCCTCGTGGCCGCGCTCTGCCGCGGGGAGGACGCCGAGCGCGCGCAGGGGTTCCTCGAGGAGCTGGAGGAGCAAGGGTTCGAGCCGGACGTCGTGACGTACAACACCCTCCTCGCGGGCTACTGCCGCAAGGGGAAGCTGCAGGACGCGCTGCACCTGTTCGACGTAATGCCGCACAGGCGCGTGCCACCTGATTTGGTCTCATACACCATCCTGATGGACGGTTTGTGCAAAGCCTGGAGGCTGAGCGATGCTCGCCGGATGTTTGACAGGATGGTGCAGGGTGGGTTGTGCCCTGACGCTGTTGCTTATAGTGTTCTGATCACAGGGTACTGTAATGAGGGACGACTAAAGGAGGCGAGGTCGCTGCTGATGGAGATGGCTGGGAGTGGGCTCTTGGACATAGCATTCGCTCTCAGGGTTGTCATTGAGGGTCATGTAAAATTTGGGAAGCTGCTTACCTGCTTGAACATGGTGGCGCCGCTAAGGAAATATGGTATTGTTATCCCATCACAGAGTTATAGCTGCTTCATCAGTGCATTGTGTGAGGATATGCACCCTAATGCTGCGAGGGGTCTGCTGCAGTGGATGATAGAGGATGGGCACAGTCCTAGTTTGCAGGTGTACAATTTGATTGTGGATTGCTTCTGCCGATGTGATAATCCAAAGGAGGCTTTGGATGTGAAGGTTGAGATGACCTCTAGAGAAGTGAAACCCAACTATGACACTTACCAGGCACTCATAACCTGCCTTTGCAGATTGGGAAAGAGCTTGGCAGGTCAGTCAATAATGGTGGAGATGATTGAGTCCAATTTCCATCCGAACGAGGCCATTTGTGCTGCCTTGGTTTGTGGCTTCTGCAAGGAAGGCGGCCTTGATAGAGGAGAACTAATTGTGAAGTCATTCGCGCTTGATTTTCAGATCCTCTGTAATGAGAGCTACAATGCATTGATGAGGACTTACTGCGAGACTAGGAGCACAGCAGAGTCACTAGCACTGCAGGACCGAATGTTAGAGCTGGGTTTTGTTCCAAACAGCAAGACTTGTCGATCTATTATTTATGGACTTTCAAGAAGGCCTGGTTGAGTTGCTGATATCTGTTACAGAAGGCACCAGCTTGAATCATCTTATTGAGTGGCCTACATTATTGCTTAATATGCATGTATGATGCACCCATTTCCCATCGTGACGGTGTTCCAAGGCCAGACTGGAGGCACCATTTCCTTCTGGTCTGACATAGGATGTGGAGGTCAAATCTGCTGGTCGAAGCTGAGCGGTTACCCCCATTATCAAATTCTGTTAGCAGATGGCGCAGAGGACAAAACATTGAGGACCCAAGGCAATCAATTGTAAGTTTGGCAAGCTAAGTAATATTACTGCACAAGTATAGGGAGCTGCAGGGCAAACACAAAAAGAAAAAGTTTTAAAACAAACAGAAACATACAATTTTTTGGGTTTTCGGTTTCAACTTTTCTTTTGAAGAAAAATCTCAATATGGTTTGTGGTGGAGATCACATTTATTTATTTTAAATAAATTCTAAAAAGGAATATACCAGGAATGCATTAACGAATCTACTGTATGAAGGTCATGGACTGAACCCAACAACTCTTGGCAGCCTGGTTTCTCATGAAGCATAATCAACACTGAGATGATTTTGACCTGAGGCTCGATTCTTGGAGCGCAACCCTGTTTTTCCTCATTTCTTCCACAAAACAATGCTACATTGTTCTGATCCAATCAAGCAGAGTGGTGATGCCGTTGACAGATTCCTTGCTGTCTCAGTCTCTGGGAGGTGGAACAGCACAGCATGCATGATGGTTTGTGGAGGAACTTTTTTTTTTTTGAAATATCGTTTGTGGAGGAAAATGGTATAGCAGGGTGGAGAGGTACGTACCACATTCGGTGGGCAAATTTTTATTCAAGTAACCAGATTTGGCTGATGTGATTGTGCGAATAATACTAGGCAAGATTTGGTACTGGAGCAATGGTTTATGGATGCTACTTTCTAAATTCTTCCTGCTATGTCTATGTGGCGGTGCTCTTTCATCAACCTTTCATCAGCACTCACAGTTTCTTTGACCATGTGCTTCAAGGGAGTAGGCAATATCTGAAATGTGCTTATGTACTGAAAAATTAGGAACTGTGGATTGTTTGTGTGAGCATATTCTGAAACTGACAGAAATTTCAGTTCCTAAATTGTGGTTAACAGTTACGGTGTAAAAAGTTGGCTTGTAGTTTGATATGTTAAGTGAACACATTGAAGCTCCATGGGGGCTCACTTGTCTGTACTGTACGTCCCCTAATGTTGCCATCTAGAATGTGGTATGGTTTTGACTTTTGAGATATTCAACCATGCTGCGTTTCTAAATTTGGCGCTTTGCATTGAGATGATTACTCTGCTTCCTGTTCCAAAGCTTTTGCTTGTGCACATTTTTGTTTTTGCGAAAATGCTTGTGCACATTTAACTCAGTTGGCATCCATGGATATGTTACCAAATCGTCATTGTGATTTAAAAACTGTGACTAATCAGCATTATTGCTCCTGACAACATTGACATTCTGTACAATCTTCATGTGACCGGTTAGCATTGGTATGTTTACAATCAGAGCAATATACGCAACTAGATTTTGCCAAACCTTTCAGCACTCCGACTGGTAAGATGCTCAAGAAAAAAATCTAGCATCACGGCATATACTCTCTTTGCGCACAGATCACAGAACTTATATATAGCATTTTGTTAACTGTCATGGTTAATCAATTTGTATATCAGTAAATGCATATGCAATATGGTATCAAACACAAACGGTTGCCGCCCTTACAATAAAACAAGTCTCTTGTAACCTCTAACAACCGCTTAATCAAACTTTGTAGTGAGTAAATATACACACACTTAACATGAAACACACATGCACACGGTAGGTTCATGCAAATAGCAAGGACATCAGTATTGATATTCCCAAATTAAGAAAACAAGAGAGCATATACAGAATGGCAGAAGCCAATTTGTTCTTGCACATGTTGGTGAAAATTGGAAAATTTAGCTGTGGGACAATTACACTTTATGAAATTAGTTGTGGGACACTTAAATATATTTTTATTGCTCTAGGACACTAATTTCTTCGTTGTAGGACACCTCACAGTCACAGTGTACCTAAAGCAAATGAAAATAATTACAATGTCCTGCAGCCAATTCCACGAATGACTGTGTTGTAGCAAAACTTGTCAAAGTTGGAAAAAGTTGTTTTTCGAGGGCATGTTTGTTTGAGCATCCCGTAGCAGCGTTTGGGCTGGGGATGTAATCGGGTTTGCCACAAACCCATAAATAGGCTTTACTTTGTTGTTTACCACATGTAACCCACAAAATTAGTTGCTGATGCACATATCAAAATGACTCAAGATGATGTGACACTTTTAGAAACATCAAAATGAAACTCTCTATTGAGATTAGCCTAATGCACATGTCAACAGATTCTGTATGTTACATTTTTCTACAAATTAGTTGGTGACACATATCCACTAAATGACGACTATAATGAAGGTGGGGAACTCCGATAGAACATGTAGCCTAGTGGTGCAAGTACTTTATAGCACCTACTCGTCTGGGTTTAACTTTCCCGTGGTAGCAAATTTTAGGCTGGTTAAAATTTTTCCTTCCCTAGCAAAGCCATGATTCAAGGATTTTCTTAGGCAGCTAGGTTGAGTTCTTCTACCCTAATAGCAATGGTTTGGGACAGTTTGGGAAGGTTATACCCCTGCTAGTTGAGTTCTTTTACGAAGGTAGGGAAGTGGTATCCGTAATGTATAAAGCCCATTGAGATTTGAGAACCACATAACATTCCAAAAAGCTCTGCATGTAATTTGAAAAATTGCTTTATAGCTATTAAAAATATGTGGGCTAAACCCTTTATATGGTTCTGGAAATTAGTAAAAACAAAAGACAAACTTGAATACTCAGAAGTCGATGGCCTCTGAAGTGGAGGTGGAAGCGGTCCGCCGGTGCTAATGCTTAGGGCATCCACAACATACTGCTACAAGTCAATAGCGACATGGAGGAGAGATGAAATAAAAAGAGAAGAAAATGCTAGCTGCATGTTAGGAAAGAAGGGGGACCAGCACTAGTACAGAAATCTTAATGGAAACGGACAAAAATGCTTAATGGAGGCGGACATCGTAACTGCCTCCAATCAAAGGTCATGGTTAATTGTGACTTTACGGAGGCGGTTGCTCTACCCACCACGGTTAATTGTTTAATGGAGGCGGACAACTTAGGGCAACCACCTCCATGCCTCCATTAAACAATTAATTGAGGCGGTCTCTATAATGCGACCGCCATAAATAAAGATTTAATGGTGGCGGTCTGCTGTTACTTGCCCGCATCCGTTAACATTTTCCCATTTAAAAAAAATAGCCTCAGCAATTTGATTTGAATTTGAATTTGAATTCTATTTTCACAAATCAAACACATATAAAAGCAGAATCAAGACATATATAAACACATTTACGCATATCGAGCACAAACATATAACACATTCATTGGTGTCCTCCATAGTCAACCAACATCATTCAAAATTATTACACATGCATGATGTCAAATGTTTACATGTGAAATTAAGATCACTCCGCTATCAACTTTTGTCGAAAAAGAGGTCCGACAACATGTAATCCTTGATTTGTAACTTGGTGCTCCAGTTTCTGATCTTCTCGAACTTCGGATCAAGCGCTAACTCGTTTTCCTTGTTGAAGAACGATCGCCCTTCATGCGCCCACTCTATGACAAACTTACATATGTCTGCTACTGTTTGTCTGAAGTTTTGGTCGACCTTCTCCCTTCGCCACCATCCTTGTGCTTTCTTCAACTACCGCCAGCTGCTGCTGAATCTGGTGCACGTCCTCAGGTACTCGCAAACATAGAATCCACATAGAACTGAGCCATAGGGTTGTTTGGCGCACTGCACGATATATAATACACAATCATTAGAGCATATATAGAGAGCAGCAGTAGTAGGATAGTATAGTATAGGACTAGTAGTAGTAGTAGGTTGTAGGAGTAGTAGCAAAGAGCTGACAAGTAGTAGGAGTAGTAGTAGTAGAGAGCATGCTCGATATAATAGCACAAAGGACTTTTGATGTACTTACCGGGAACTCGCGCCTGAGTTTTAGTTTCGTGCCATTCTTGATCTTCTTCTTCTCAGATCTCCGATCATAGCAGTCAGGATCTTGCACGTACTTCTTATAAGCGTTGTATGAAAAACCAGTAGTGTCAACGACAATTTGAACACGTATGTTAACTTGTTAATGAATAAGTTCCGTCACTTACTATCTCAATACACTTTCAAAGTGCTTGTAGCTTGCTTTGTTTGTATCCCGCAAAGAGTCAAATATATAGGCCCTTCCATCCTGAGGATAGATTATAAACGCAATCCAGTGGGGCATGATGCCCTTACTGCACCATTCACACAATAGAGATTTGAAATGTTCAAATATGAGAAGTCATGATCCAAGTAGCTATATATATGTTCCAAGAAGATTTTTGACTTACCCGAACTGGTGGGAGGCCATGACACACATTTCCCCTGACCTTCTTCATGGCTCCATAGATGTATATTCCTGCCCGATACTTATATTCGATTTCCAGATCTTCCCAGAATTTCTTTCTCTCCTTCGGGTTCAAGTTCACCAGGAGGAATCTGCAGTGGCTACTTGTGAGAACGTTGTGTTTTGATCGACGGGTCGAAGACCGGATCGTTTGCTTCCTCTCCACGAGCTTTCCTCTGTGGCCTCAGTGTCAGCTCTTCGCTCTCATACTCGGTGCTCCCGCCGTCTGAGCCAGACGATGACCCTTTGTCACTATCATCATCAGGGGTAGCCTCACGCCACTTGCGTAGAGCCTCCGATTCGTTTGCCATTATAATATATGAAGAATAGGGTTATATGGACAATTCACTTGTATAGACAATAGAATGATTATATTCATCTCATAACTTAATACATAATTCTTTTTTCATTAACATTTGGAATTGGGGTACATAAATAGAAGGATAGTACAAAATTATAGAAGAAAAATATAAAATTGTAGAAAGGAAAG